TGTTAAATTGTTAAGAAGTGATAGCAAAGATTTATATTGTTAATATTGTTCGATATTTTGAATAAATGCTGTTCATTTTAACTTTTTATTCATCAAAGAATCCTGAAAAAAGTGAAAAAAGTACCAAAAAAATATTTGGCAGCACAACTGTTGCCAACATTGATAATTCGAATAATAAATCAGCATATTAGAATGATTTCTGAAGGATCACGTGACACTGAAGACTGGAGTAATGGCTGATGGAAATTCAGCTTTGCATCACATAAATTATATTTTAAATAAATTATATTTTAAAGGACATTAAAATAGAAACCATTATTTTATATTGTAATAACATTTTGCAAGATTACTGTTTTTTTTCTGTATTTTTGATCAAATAAATGCAGCCCTGATGAGCAGAAGAAACATCTTTAAAAAACATAAAAAATCTTACTGATTCCAAACTTTTGAATGGCAATGTATAAACCAGGGCTGGATCTGAAATCACTCCTATATCATTATGTGCCATAATATTTGATGGGACAGCCATTTGTAATCCTTTACGAAAACAGAGCGGACATTATAAATCACTCATTCTACTTATTCAAAAGCTAGCCATTAGAGTTTACATCAATCCGTAGCCCTTCTGACAAATAATGGCTTTTCACACTTGAAATGGTTAACACTGGGTCATTCTAAACCCCAGGTTAAGGGAATCCTGGGTTATCTTGCTTCACATTTCAGTTCACCCAAAAATGAAAATTCTGTCATCATTTACTCACCCTCGATTTGTTCTAAACCTGTATAAATTTCTTTGTTCTGCTGAACACAAAGGAAGATATTTGGAATGATGTTAATATCCAAACAGATCTTGGGTCCCATTCACTACCATAGTATTATTTTTTCCTACTATTCACCCAAAAATGAAAATTCTGTCATCATTTTTGGGTGAACTATCCCTTTAACAATTAATCCTGAGTATTCATACACTGATGTTTCGCACTGTATATTCCAAAACCCTGGGTTAAAGTCTTGTTTGCATATTTGCAGTGTCAAGTGTGATATTTTTACATAAATGTGCATCCACAAATATACTATAGCTGCCTTTACTATCAACTTTATCCTGAATGGACTTTTCAGACTATACAGGTAAGAATTAATTGGTCTCTTTTTAACTCCGATTGTTGCATTTTCTGTCACCATTTGACATTTTTCCCTACTACACAACACACTGTGTTTATGTTGCTGTATAAAGCACTTAAATATATGAGGCAGGCGATTGGTTGTCGGTTGCTAAGAATCTCGCTGTAACATTCAAACACTACCTCGTTTCACTTATTACAAGTTTGGCACCGTAATGCAAAGGTAACACCACAAAAGCAGTGCTAACTTTCATAACCCTGGTTGAAAAGCGGTGCTAACCCCACTTCTAAATTACAAGTGTGAAATTATCCTTTACCCGGGGTTAAAAGCAGTGTTTAGAATGATGATAACCCAGGTTAAGCACAGTGTGAAAAGCCTTTAAGGCTTTTTGATTATTCAGTATCAGTAGGTTCATTTTGTGCCAACTCAACCAAAGGTCCCCATCTAAAAATATTAAAAAATTTTTTCCTGGTTAAAAAATACAAAAAGGAATTAGAAAGCCAAAACATTAAATGCCATGAATGAAAATTTACTGTATAATCGTCTATTTTGT